ACTCCTGAACTCACTCACTCACTCACTCATCCGGGCATGCACTGCGGTCTCAAGAGGAAACGCAGCTTTTTGATATAAAGTTTTTCTTGTTCCCGAATACAAATATTTTTTAAAGTATTTGTTCGAAATAAGTATTCGTAAAAAATACATTATTTGTGCCTTTCCGAATACCGTATTCGGGTTCGGCTCCACCCCTAGTCTCTACCTATATATATTTGAAAAGTAGACCGTCCAAGGTTTCTGAGAGTATTTTTAAAATGTGTATATGACAAAAACTCTGAGTTATTTAGACGGTTTTGCGAAATTTTTGTCAGATCCCGCCGGTGGGACCGCCGAACCCAGGGGGTTAAAACAGAGGAAAAGTTCCATGTTCCTAATAGCATTTATTTCCATATATACAAAGGCTTGTTCCAAATGAAAACATGAACATTTTTTTCTTCTTTTTTTACTGAAAATGAAGAAAAAGAATATTAGGTTGTTCAAAAAAATAGCAGTGTCTGCATTTTCATTTACAACTTATAAAATAACTTACAAACAGTATATTGACAGTATAAACTGAAAATGAAATGAAGATTTAGCTTTTCCTTTAAGCACTGAACTAATATTTAGTTGTATAACCATTATTTCTGATCACTGCTTTACATCTGTGTGGCATGGAGTCAACTAACATTTGACACCTGCAAACAGAAATTGCAGCCCAAGCTGACTGGACTACATTCCACAGATCTTTGGCATTCTTGGGTTTTGCATCAAAAACAGAATTTTTTAGGTCACTCACTCTGATTGTTGAAGTACTCACAGGTAAATGGAGATCTTCTTTGATCTCTCTGGAGCTGATCATTGGATGCTTCTTTGCCATTCTTATTATTCTATGATCTAGGTAGTATTCCTTTTTCTACCACGTGTTTCGGGTTCTCTTTCCCCATTTCAAAGCATTTGAGATCTTTTTAGCTGAGCAGCCAATTATTTTCTGCACTTCTTTGTACGTTTACCCTCTCCAATCAACTTTTTGATCAAAGTTCTTTCTCCATCAGTGCAATGTCTGGAACGACCAATTTTACGCAAGGGCTAAAACCAGCAGGTACAACATCTGCTGCCTTCCTTCATTAAATAAGGGCCATAATTGACACCCATTTCTTCACAGATTGAATGACCCCCCTAACTCCACACTGCTATTAATTTGAACACACCCCTTTCATTAAATGAGTCAATTACCCCCAATTAGCAGCATGCATGTCATGTCTGTTAAGTCTGCTGGTTGGCCATTACTCTGCTACACCTAGTCATTTTTTGTTCCCATGTTGTATCATAATTTCGGCCAAAATCAGTACTTAAACACATTAGTAATGTTAGACTGCTATTATTTTGCACGTAACTGTATGTCTAACTGTCTGAGGGCAGCAACACTTTACTTGAAAGAATAAAATTCTCTCTACAAAAGTTGATCAAATGACTAGCAAACTGAGAGTTTCTATCTGTAATATCAGCATTCATGTCCCCCACCACATATACACTGCAGGTGCTATTGTCTTGTAAAAAAGCATTAATAAAAGCCAGCTTATTGAGATATTCATCCTCATTTTCACGAGACTCATATGGCATATATACATTTAGAATGACAAAATTATTATATTCATGAGTATATTGTATACCAATACACCAATCTACATCGAGCCTAATCGGCTTTATCACACCATCAAGCTTTTTATCCCAGAGCACAGCTACCCCTCCTAGAATTCTACCTCTATCGTCTCACTAAGATCAATCTTTGACTCCCCCACACCCAGGAAGTTTTGATCAATACAGTTCAATTTTTCTAAGTCTTGTTTAGCTAAAAATGTGTCTTGCAAACATAAGATGTCACATTCTGTCAGCAAATTGTCCACAACAGAACACCGAGCTTTATCCCTTGCACTCTGCCCTAAATGCAGGCCACGGCAGTTGTAAGACAGTACCCTAATTGACATTATTAAACCAATACATTAGCACCAGAGGGAACATTTACCTCCCTTATGGGAGGCACAGTATTCAATCCAACAGTACTGGCCTTACGTGGTTCATAATAACACCAGACCAGAGCCCCTTCAGGCCAGAGCTCAGCAGTCTACATTTCACCAACGTCATTACATTCAGCAGTCCCTTTAAAAGAGCCAACCCTGCTGCGTACATTGTCGATTTTCTGGCAGGTGACCTCCTTGTTAAGTTTACCTATAAGATACAAGGCAAGCGTCTCTGCTTCCAGGTCTGGGGAAAATTTAGTGGCAAATACACTCAATGATCTGGTCTTCACAGTTTTGATGGTACTCTCGACTCCAGTACCTATAATCGATATGAGCCCACGTCTCTTATTAGACGTGACCGGCCAAATTTATGACTCAAATTATTATGATTGGCTTTTTTACATATACTACGTGTTAGATTTCAAACTACTGAGCTAGTGTTGCTTTTAACAGCACCAAACACAAAAAACAGCAGTCACAATTAATACTCAGTAGAGTATGCTCAGGAAAATTACACTTAATGACAATGCAAAATTACTTTTTTTTTTTTTTTTTCTTTTTTTTACCTGTGTCCCATCTCCTGGTAGTAGCCTGCATGTCAAACTTGATCCTGGATACTGGGATGCGTTTGATAGTGTGGTCATATTGGGCAGTGAGATAGCTCTGGAAAATACATAAAAAGGGGGAAAAAATGGTTAAATAGGTATCATTGTAGCTATAACCATTTATCGAATTCAAAAAAGGGTACCACTGTAACCAGTAGATTAACTGCACTTGAAATGGCAACTTGACAATCATGTCTAAAACGTGATTATTATGAAATATTATGGTTTCAGTTTCTAAACACAAACTACGAGAAACTAAAGTTATTAAATACCAATTTTGTGTTTTTATGAACAACTGAGTATCAGGTAGTTACGTACCTTTAGCAGCATACTGCTACCAGTCTGTAATGGGTGTAATTCGTGATTCGAGCTGTATCTTACGCCACGTTGACTGATGGTTTAATTAACAAATAAATAAATAAGCTAACCAGTCGGCTTGTACTTATCGTTATTTTATACCATACGATATACAAATGGTGCGACCACTTACAGCGAAACAAAAAGTTTCTATATCAATTTCAACTATTTCCGCGCTGCTCAATACTGGTAAGACGGATGTCATCATTGCAACACTTTATAGCAGGGGTGGCCAAGCTTATCCACAAAGAGTCTGTGTATGCAGGTTTTTGGGATAGCCTTTAGGTCAGCTGTTCAAGCCTATGCGTGAGGACTCTTTAGCCAATCAATTCTCTAATTAGTAATCTAATTAGGGACCAGCAGGCAATACCTGCATAGACAACGGCCCTTTCTGGATAAGATTGGCCACCCCTGCTTTAGACGTAACGAACGTAGTATACAATGTTACACAAATTTTGCACCTTATGCAATTCACACATATGCATTATAAAGTTAAATAACAAACCAAAAAATGTATTCATTGTACGAGGACCATTCCGTTGCTATAAGTGACGTGATTTAGTCAACGTAAATCGCCCTTATTTTCCACCTCTATTGCCCTTTGGAAGGGCGCTGCAGAGGTAACATTCGTGGAACATCACACAAAACAACAATAAAACAACGTTCATATTATTGTATACGTTTGAGTATATTACTTTAGCATACAGAATTTTTCAATAAACGTTCATTTCATTTGCTAAAATAACTGATATCCTAGTTCGCTGCTATATAGTTACAGACATGAGAACTTGAAAAAATAATAGTAATTTCAGCGTACTAAGCCGTCTGATCTTTAAGACAGTGACTTACATGATTAAAATCGCATTTCTACTACATTGTAACACCAATCCGTCTGGAAACTGTTTAAATTTATGCAAATGATTAGAGGTACAGGAACAACCACCTAACTATAAATGTCATGCGTAGTTCGAGTCTGCCTAGGAAAAACGGCGCTCGAACATTAGTATTCAAGATGGTAGATAAAATCTTCCGGGTCATTTTTGAAATGCCTGGCGGTGATTGGGCAGAAACTCACTCTCAGCAACGTGTCTGTGTCACGGTCTCGGATCTACACGATGGACTTATGAAATTTAAGGCCGCTTTCTCGATGTGTTTATTTATTTTATTTTTTTTGGTGGGCAAATATATAAAACAGGCCTATCATAAAACAATTTAAAACACTTTAAAGTGTTTTTGTATGTTTCATTAGAACTGAACTGTATATTAGTACTTAGCTGTATATTAGACCATGGGAAAATGTTACAACTCAACACTGTGTTCTTATATATTGAAAATGGTAAATTGAACATCGTTCATGAGTAAAAGTGTAAAAAAAAATCACACCCTTTTGGTGACACAGTGTAGTTGAATCTATGTGGTATTTCAAACAAGTATTTTTTTTCCTTTTTTTGTCATTTATAGGTTTGCTAATATGCTAATCAGAGGCGGAGCCAGACATTTTATACACCCGGGGCTTAGCCCCAAAGGGTAGTATGCATGTGGAATTGGGGCGGGGGGGCGGTTAGAAATGACTGAAAAACATGCTGTGAAGTTGAAGATTTATTAGGCTGTGACTCTACTAACCTATCAGAAGCTTCTTAAGCTCAGAATGGAATCGTCTGGAGTTTTCTTATTAATTAAAGACACAATAAACGTAGTGTATATATACTCCTAAATTTGATGAAAGTGATAGAAAATAGACATCTCTCTCTCTCTCTATTCTGACATTTAACTAATTCAAAAGATATTTCAATATTTATTTATCTAAAACAAAACAGTTTGATGATTAACAGTAAAAAAAAATGTTTTTTCCCTAAAGTGTATGTTGTAAATATCTGATTTCAACTGTGAATATACTGCTGTGTAT